TTGTTGTTTGAAATAGCCAGAGGCAACTCAGTTGCGTTAAAAAATTTCACTATTCTGATTTGAGTATTGTCCTCGGAATACACCCACGTGGATAGGGGTGAAGTTGTAGAATCGGCGCCTGGACTGCCAAATTGCAATTGTGTTTGACTAGCTGGAAGAAATTCATATCTAGCCGCACATGCTTTGTAGTGGCTGTTGAGATGAGTGGTACCAATTTCTTTTTGCCATGACAGTATTTGTTGGCAGTATTTACATACTACTTTAGATTCTTCAAAGTCATTGACGACTTTTCCCGTTGAAATCAACTTAAAGTGATCCTAACATTTTGCTTGTTTTTTGGCCTTTTGCTTTCCCCTCGCATCTGGGATATTTAATTCGGCATCTTCATCCTCATGTTCCGTTTCGGAAACGTTAATATCATCCAAATCAATTGGATTGTGGCTTCCCTGACCGTGAATATGAACATCTTCAGGTATCGGTCAGTCATTTGGACTGGAAAATTCATTTGAAAATTGACTTTGTAGCGTCCTGGGCGATTCGCCATGATGTGGCCTACATCCTGTATCGAATAAACTCTCAACAAATGAGCATTGATCCATTTGTTTGATTGTTTATGATGAAATCTTAACTAGAAGAATATAAATGTAGTGAGAATTGGGAATTGGATGAATTAAAATTGTAACTAATAAACTGTAAAAATTGAATTGATATTATATATTTTGCAGTACAAGAGAGTAAAAACTCGATAATTGATATAATAAAAGAGAGTTGAGAGAGTTGGAGATTTGGAGTAGCAATTGATATGAAAAAAATAAAAGGGGGAAGGGGTATTTATAGTAGAAGGGGGAAAGAATTAAAAAATGATAATTTCAGTGACCAAACGATCACTTTAAAATTGAGGGCTCGACGAGCCACAAGCCGAGCGGCTCCCGTCGAGGCCCGCTCGGCTCACAGGCCCGAGCCGTCCACGAGCCCTATTTTCACGAGCCGAACCGTCGAGCTGCCCTTTTGACATCCCTATATCTACTTGTTCTTTTAGAAATATTATTTTTCCAATTTGAACATTTTATATCTAAAGATGAGTCTCAAGTTGAGGCGAAAAATTTGGAGCATAACTTCTTCGGTTGGATATTGATTTATGCAAATACTTCAATTGTATTTCACTCATTTGACCTCGAATTGCATCCAATTGATTCTAACTGATCTTCAATTATTATTTTATGGTCCGAATCAATTTTTGAATTTTTACACTTAGGTCCCCAAACTTTGAATTTCTTTCATTTTTGCCCTTTTTCGTTCATTTACCCAATTTCATCAATTTACATTGAGTTCAGCCTAACAAACATAATTAACCTATACTTAAGCTATAACACATTCAAATCACTAACAAATACTCTAATTTACTGACTTGGATAAATGTACAAAATACACATATCACTCAATAGTTTGTAGCTCCATACAACGCGTGAATCACTTCCACTTGCCATGCATCCTTTGAAGCCAATAAAAGCAAAGTTTTTGGCTTTCATTTGAGACTATTCCTAGTAAAAAATGGACGATTGGAAATGATTGAGCAACTTCTTGTTCCTCGATCTATTCTTGTCACTTGCCAGGTCTAGATTTGAAAATGAACTGGCCAAAGAACCTGGAAACCTATACAAGTAGTTTTCAAATGGAAAAACTGATGATTGCATACTAGCAAAGAATGACTTACTACAAATAAAGCAATCAGGCTGAGGGTGCTTAGAATCACTACTTCCCTCAGTATTTCCTTTCTGGTTTACACTACTAAAAAAAAGCTTTTCACCAATGAAAAATTACCAACCGATTATATCCGTTGGTAATCATAAATGGATTATTCGTTAGTAAAAGTAATTCACTTTTAGCTACGATAATCAGCAACGGAATTGTCGTTGCTAATGACGATATTTCTTTGCTAACGGATATTCTGTGCCTTATGTAGTTGTCTAACATTTGGATGTTTCACTTACGAATATTCCATAGGCGATATATCGATAATCACCAACGGATGGATGTAATCCATTGGTAATCTGGAACGAATTATCTGTTGATAAAAGTAATCCACTTTTAACTATAGTGATTAGCTACGAAATTGCAGTTACTAAAGGGTATTCTGTCAGTGATGTCTATCAATTTTTGTTAAGAAAAGATGTTGGTAAAAGTATTCCATTTTTAACTACAGTACGTAGCTATGGAATTGTGGTTACTAAATGTGATATTTCTTTATCAATGGATATTTTGTGCCCAATATAGTTAGTTAAGATATGGATCTTTCATCTACGAGTATTCTGTAGGTGACATAAATCAGTTTTTGTTAAAATTAGATGTTTGAAGTTTTTACATACAAATAAATATAATTTCTATGACCCAGGATAAATTTATTGCTGATATTAGGTATATCAATTTTGAAAATGATAATGTTTTACCAATAGGAGGTAATGGTTAATCACTCAAGGATTAATGTAAATGATGATATTTCATTTAACGTTTGATTATTTTAACAATGAAGTAATTTATAATTTTTTTTGAAATAGACCTATAAAAAAATGTGGTTATTATTAATTGTTTGACTTTGACGTAGATTTACATCAAATACCAAACAAGGGCTTAATTACAAAAATACAAAAAGATCAATCTAATCTTGTGCGAGAAATACATAGATGAAGCAGCTTACATACCTGCAATACGACATCCATTTGTTGGGAATTTCATCTTTAAAATGAAATCTTGTAAATATTTAGTTTCATTATTGTCCTGTTTGAGTCCAATTGATTTGAAGTAATGTATTATGGAATAGTGATTCATGCGGAATGTGTGATAAAAAAGAAGAAATTTTTTTAGTTATGTTTAATATTATTTTATGAAGAATGTGTGATTGAAAATAAATATTGTTTAAAAAAGAATATATTATAATGTAAAAGAATGTGGCTCAAACAGGGGCTATAGTAAGTACCACTATTATATTATTTAAAATAAATATGATACTTAAATTGTAAGCTCTCATGTTTAAATATTTTAACACAACAAAAAATATTAAAACAAGGTTTTATCACTATTTATTAATTACAAGAACTTTCATCGAAGATTTGTGCGTTTATCATCTTAAGAGGATAATTAACTTGTGATCAAGTACATGCTTAAATCAATTTCAGTATATTCATATCTGTTTAGTCTTCTAGTAGACAATATATACTAAATGGCTTCTGATTAAATAATTATAGCAATTAAAACATAATCGATTTTAATATTTCTTTCATAAATTACTACATAGCTTTTATATGATAATATATATACGACTAGAAATGACAATAGATTGAGACGAACATGTGATGGTCGTCCTCATTTCTCATCTCATCGAAATTTTACGAAAGGTAAGACGATCTTCATTCATATCTTTTAGTTAATTAATTTTAATTTTTTAAAGCAATATTGACATTAAAAATATAAAAATATATTAATATTAAAAGATTCGGGATGGAATGGAGAAATTTGAGGTGGGTACAATGTTTTCCTCCTCGCCATAATTATTTAATAGGACGGGACGGATGACGATGATTTATTTTGGTATCCCTCAATGAATTGTTAAAATTCGAAATTGATATCAAATTTTATTTCACTATTAAGAACTTAAAATAAATATCGTGAAATATAGTAAATAAAATATTTTGATATTTTCTAAATTAAAAAGATAAATCCTACTTACTTTAAAAGAGAGGATCCATTTCTACTATTCATTTTTGGGCCATAGCATTCACATTAGACTGGTTTGGAATCGGTTCGGCACTATTCACTGAAATAAGGAAAAAGGATGCCGTGTAATAATTGTATTAGCTTTTTTTTATTTTTTATTATTTTTTTACATTGTTGTTTTTATTCATCTGACGATTTCTCATCCAAACCTACTCTCTATCGTCCCCTACAAAACTCAAAAATCTCTCCCCAAAAATATCAATTCTAACTGTGAAATTGAAATCCTCAGAAGTTCATTTAATTTTTTCCCTCTATTATTGTTCGAATATCATTTTTTTTTTTTGTTAATCCCTCGTTTCTTTTGCCCCTTGCTTGGTTTAAATTTGACGAACAAGAGAAAAATTTTCACAGAAAGTATACTGTAACACCTTTATCCTACTTTATCTTTTGCCTTTTGTTAGTATGCTTCTTCGATTTCTATATTTCTATTTCTCTTCGATCGATCTCTTCTTTGTGTTTAGGGTTTTCTAAATTGTACTGAGATTTTCTGTCATCTTCATCTTTTGCTTATTCTTCTATGTATATGTTCGATCTTTAGATCTACATTTGGTTAATTATTTTTGTGTTGGGGTTTTTTCGAACTTTGTCCGAGTTTCTATTTTATTTTTTCCATCTCTTCTTTCTACATATGTGTACTTCTTCGGCTTTTTTCTTACCTCTATTTTTATTTGTTTTATTATTTTTTTATGTGTTTTGGGTTTTTCTCAGATTTGTTCTACATGGTTAAATTAAATTTATGCGAATTGTTCACATGAAAAGTTCCATTGGAAGTAATTTTTTGTAATTAATTTCTCCTTTAAACTATAGTAGGCTTCTAGGGGATTTCTTTCTAAATTTAATGCTGCCTACTTTGGAAGAGACTCAAAATTTATACTTGAACAAGGATTCATCATTTAGAGGTAATTCCTTTACTAAAATTTACAACCATATGTTATTCTGCTTGCCAAAATAAATTATTCCTCTTCTCCGTGTTCTTTACCAACTTCTTGTTGTTTCAAATTCTGTACTTAAAATATTTATTACCTATATTGCTATAAATGACTATATATCGCTGGACACCTTCGACATCTATTTCCATTTACATTGTCAAATGCTCGTTACATCCATTCACTATGAAATTACTAAATTAACTATTGCTTTTGCTGTTGTATCAGGCAGTTATTAAATAATTTCAAGCTAGATGTGAAAAAACTAATTTTCCTATGATTCATATAGTAAGTATTCATGATCAGTTTCCATTTCAAATAAGTTATTGTGATTCAATATCACTTCCAATATTGTAAACTGGTTATTATTGTATCATAACTGTTGAACTACTTAAAATTTATTCCTTTCAAAAGTAGCCTCAACGATCCATTTCACATGTTTAGCTAAAATTAGAACTTGTGGTGTAGTTTTCACATACTTTTAAAAATTAATATTATTTTCACATAATGAATAATTATTTATTATGAGATTGTTAAAGAGTGTTTCTTTTGCTTCTCAATTCTAATTATTAGCTATTTATCTTTATTGACTTCAAGCTGTTATTAAGAAGAAATGTAGCCTAAATGCCACCAATGTTGGTGATGAGGGTGGCTTTGCCCCTAATATTCAGGTTGAACATTTTATTTTGGTGGTTTTTCTTTTTCGTCCTTCGATTTCTACTATAGACATTTACAGTATTATGTCCATTTAATTTCAGGAGAACAAAGGTCTTCAATTGATCAGAACAACCATTGCTAAAGCCGATTATACATCAAAAGTTCCTTCTCCCCTTTTCTTTTCATTTATGTGTTTGGTTCATTCAATGTTCTATAAGCACCTTGTATTTCTTCTATCTTCACCTGTTGAAAGAGTAAAACAGGCTTGCTTCTTCCTTCTACTCAAGTTGTCATTGGAATAAATGTTGTTGCGTCAGAATTTTATAGATCGGACAAGACTTATGATTTGAAATTGTCAAGGCAATGGATGCAAGCAACTATGGTAATTAATGTCAATTGTTAGGTTTTAATACAATTTTTTTTTTCATCATTGGTTCTAAATTTTTTAAATGAAACACATTTACTTTAGTTGACAATTTGATTCTAATCAATAAAATCTAACACAACTATCCTCTTCAATAGTCATTTAAGCTCAATTCGTGTTATCGAAGGTTCTAACCACATTAGGATATCAAAGCAACTTTGAAAATCAGGTCTACTCCATCTTCATTCTGATTTCAAATGCTTAATAGTGAATTTGGCAGCTGAGCTTGCCTTTTATGCGGTTGGATATAAACTACTATGACCTTGGCCTTTCCCAGTGGGATGTTACTAATGACTAAAAAATCATTCAAGTTGCATAAGCTACTTTTGACTTTGACATCCTGTGTTCTCGATTTTGAATAAATATTGAACTTCTGATAATAGGACTTCGATATCTTCATTTTGTCATTTGCTTCATAATATTTGCAGTACAGAACATCTGTATTTTTTAGTTTTCTATTACAATTTTCGTAAATATGTATTCATTTTTCTTCCTAGTTAATAGTTATTTTGTATGTTGAAATTGTAGATTCAATTTAGTAATTAAATGTGCCACCATTACTCCTGGTAGGCACAACTCATCTTAAATTGTTCGATGCTATGCAGTGGCTCTTCAAATCATTTTATTTTTAAATTATGAATCGGATCATTATCCCTTCTACACATTAATAAAAGAGGAAATGTGGTGTGCACTGTTCATTTTTGTCCCCTCATGTTCACACTCAATCAGGATAGGCATTGTTCAAAAACAAGTTACATACTGTTCATCAAAATATCTTTGGTATATATTATATATATGCCTTTTGTACCTCTTGTAATACCATTTATACCTTTCCAATCTCTCTAAATAATCATAGGCAGCCATTAACTCCAATAGACTTGGCGACGAGGACGACAAAGAAGAAGACGTGAAGAATAAGGTTTCATCGCGATACCTGGAGTTGGATAAATTTTTGTTTTGGGTTCTCTATTTTCCTTCTTTCTAATTCTACTTTCTAAGTTTAGTTGACATTTTTCTTTGCTTAAATTTAGAGGTTTTGAGTATATATAATATCTGGGCATCTCATAAATAGCTTAAATAGTTATTTAGTTTTGGGAATTCCATATTCTGATTTTTTTTAGGTAACTCTTTTACCTTTGTTTATATGCTTATTCTTTGTTCTATGTGTCTGTTAGTTTGTTTCTGAACCGAAATTAAATTGTTCTTAATTCATTCTTTTGATTTGATTTTTTGAATTTCAAGTTTATTCCTATTTTTAACTTCTGTTGTTTAAATAGTGTATGCCAATAATGTTGTGAGAATACAATTTATTAGTTCCATGGTTCATGTAGTGGACCTCCATGATTTTCCCATTAGTATCCTAGCTTGACGTATGGCAAACATCGAATTAGTAGGAGAATACCTCGATTTGGCTCCAGATCCCAATCTCAACATCTCGAGTGGTCATCAGGTAAACAGAGTAGGACAAATATAAACTCTTAATCAAACACAAAAAAAAAAAAAAAAAAAAAAACTAATGAATAAATATTATGCATCTTTCCTTCAAGGGCCTAATTCTTTATTCTTCCCATGTTTTAACCAAGAATATGTTCTTCTTGCCTCTTGCCTTGGAAAGTCTAAATTTTCCAAGCATTTTTTCAACAGAAAGTGGGCCCCATGTTAGAGCAGGGACACGTTTAGTCTAATATGAACTCAGGCTACTATGCAGAGAGCTGTTTAGTGACATTTTCAAGTTCGTAAATTTCCGTTTATGCCATTATTTGTGTACAATTCCGGCGAGATATGAGGGTAAAATAGTCCACCAAGTATCAACGGTTAGATTCTTTTAATACCCAATCTGACCACAATATGATTTATTGTGATGTGTTGGCAGACATCTACTGTAGAAGAATAAAAAGAAAAAAAGAGAAAAAAAAAAAAAACTCTTAAAAAAAAAAAAAAAAAAAAAAAAAAAAAAAAAGCTAATGAATCAATATTTTCATATGCATTGAGTATTATTTATGAGTTGCTTCTCATGTTCTGTGATTAGTCGTGACATGTGGAACAAAAGCATTTAACAACTTGGACTAATTCTATATTTGTTCCTTCCAGATAAGGAGAAAAAGGATGTGAAAGAATATATTTTTCTTCTAAGTTGTAGAATCTCCTTTATTTATCAATATGTGATATTCCAACACCTCATCACTACTGAAGTCCATATAAAATTGCGATTAATTCATTTTTGCCTAAACTCAATTACTCAAACAAAACTAGATCTTCATTCTTTATTTGTTTTTTTTCCTTTTTACTATTTTAACTGAGCGAATATCATTTCCTAATGCATTTGATTAATTTTGGGGTTTCACTTGCACACAATAGCCTATATCGAAGGAGACAAGTACTATGGTGCAAAAGCAACTATTAATGTTTGGGAATCTAAAATACAGCAGCATCATAACAAGTTCAATTTGCCCCAAATTTGGTTACTGGGTGGCTCATTTGGTGAAGATCTCAATAGCATTAAAGCTGGTTCGTAGGTATATTTGTCTCCAAATCACTTGGTCGATTATAATTTGTTGCATTCATCTAACGGATTAGAATGCATGTTATTTCAAGTTACCCCCAATTTAAGTACATACCTATAGAAAATTTAAAAAAGAATGCTAGTTCATATTACATAGAAGTTAATTATAAGTACAAAAACTCGAAGAAAGCATTTAATGGAGGTTCTTAACAGTTAGTCTTGTGTTTTGGAACATGCTTATATTATGTGACAATTATGTTTCTCTTCCAATCCTATTTAGCACATAGAGTAAAAGCTTCAATTGCACCCAATGTCGGATGTCTCTGATAACTGGAGCTAATTGGTTAAATGTAGAGGAAATTTTACTATTCGTTCGTCCCAAGCATAAATAAAATAGTTAATCCCTAAGCAAGCTGGAGTGTAGTACGAATCATGCTGTAAATTTTTCTGTTAAAATAATTTATTTATTTTGCATGGGACAACCTTTGAGAAATCGTTTGGCAATGATGAGAGAAGAGAAAGAAAATTCGATTTTGAGAATTTTTAAAATGAGAATTGATTCCCTAAAAAAGAAAGCACTGAACGTGTCTTCAAAGTCAAGTATTCTTTCAAGAAGAGCAGAGAAGTAAGAGTGGTATTCGTGGCAACTTCGTTTCATTTGAGGATATTCGGGATGCTGATGAGTTGCAAGCTATTAAGGCATTTCGGCGAGCCTTAATGCTAATTGCCAAACAAGTTTGATGATTATCATATGATGTTGAGGTTATTATATAACGCTTTTGCTACTTTTAGTCAAATGTTCACATGTATGAATGGAAATATAAACTGTATCCTAGTTTAACTTGTAGATGTCCTGATTTTGTTCTCATTACGATGGAGGTAACTAGACATCCCTTCCTCCTTTAGTAGGACAATTTATGATTTTGTTGCATTATTTTATAGTTTTCCCTATATTGTAGTCGATGGTTAAGGTTTGAGGGATTGCATTTAATAGTCTATCTAGATAAGTTATTTTCTATTTCTTGTAAACATTTTAGTATATAATTGGAAAAGTATGCAAATATTCAAAATTTTGTTGATAATATTGTGTCCTCCAAAATGTTGCAAACATTTCATAAAATATTTATCATCAAGATGGTCCAGGTATTATGCTACTGTAGAATATTGTAAAGAGTTTTCTTGATCCCAGGGCCACCACTAAGATACATGTATGTTGCTATTTCTTCCTTTTTCCATGTGGAAGCTTTATTTTTCTCACTTAAATGGCCGACTTTAATTACTCGGTCTACCTTTTTTCTATAATATCTCACATGTTCTTGAAAACAAATATAAGAACAATTTGCTTGAAATAAGAGATACCAGGTGCAAAACAATGGAAACCGTTGTTGCAACTTACGAACATTGAAATTTATTTCGAGATTCTGACGTAAATTTTTGGGTTTGTGTAGTGATCAGAATTCTTCGGTGGAACGTGTATCTGTGCAGACCAAGGGGTTTGCCTTCGGTCAAATAAAGGACCATGGAAAATTCTCGAGATACAAAAGGTGCTTCCTAACATGGGAGCTATTAAATTGATCTACAAAGATAATTTATAAATACTTGTGTTATAATTTTGATCATGTTAAAAAATAATAAATGGCCCGAAATCATCTTACAGATGGTGAAGCACGATTGCCAAACAGGTGGTTGAAATTCTTAACAACGATGGAGAGAGTTTATGCTAAGCCCCACTACTTGATTGTATGGACTATGTCTGTTGTGCATATGATTAGGCACAACTACACAATATTTCTGTTTTATATGAGAATTTGTTTTTATTTGTTTGTAGAAGCAGGTAAAAGGCAGGGACACCTCAACTGTTGAATCTGGTTATGAAGCTGAAGATATTTCTTCACCAAAAGCTATTAGGAGTTATCGCACCTTTGATTGACTCCTGTTCGTGCGGAGATATGGTCAAGCCTTAAAATTTCAAGATTAGATATTATCTGCTCTTGAAAATAATGTTTTATATAATTTTAATTGAAACCTCCCTTATTTAGTGTTGAGTCTGGTAATAGCTTGTGCAAATATTTAATTTGATGCTTGTAGATCAATTAGTATTTGCTTAATTGCAAAATAAGTGCAAAATGATCATTGCTTGATATTGTCTCTTTGATTGGTTTAGAAGCATCTGTATATACCCTAAAAAGGTGTCTAGTTACATGTACTTCAAATTTAGATCAAATTTTTATAGGTCGGGTTGTGCAATCTTTTGCTACTAAAAAATTCAAGCAAAGCGACATTATTCAAGAGTTCATTAGTTGTTTGATAATTATTATTTATACCGTCTATCATTTTATTTATGATATAAGGTACAAATTCTTCATGAAATATAACTAAGCATACAGTTTCTTGTAAGAAATATTTTTTTTCCTATAAAACTAATTTTCCTTACTTAAGAAAGGGATGACTTTACCATATACAGTGTGAAACACAACATAGAAAAGTGTTGACACTTTCTCAATCCCTCACAAAAATTAATGTGGAGGGTCAACCTGTCTCTTCTGATTATCTCAAGTCCTTGTTTCTCAAGTTAAAGCTAATGAAAACTCTAGCTTGGTAACTTATCACGATATGATGAGTATGTTCCTATGGTTGACAAAGTTGTTGATTCTGGATGGAAAAAGCATACATCACTTTCAAAACCTTATATTTTTAAAGGTTAGTTGCTTTAGAAGTTCCACTTTTGTAGCCTTCTCCATACATAATATTTGAATCAGCCTACGATCTTCTCATGCTTATTTATTCATCTAATACTTGCTTCGAAGATGTAGGAGGTCTAATTTTCTTCGGTTGAAACCATCTTTTTGTCATTGCAAACGTCGCCTTAGGTGCTCATTTTTATTCTTGTAACTCTTATCATACGCTGATCATGTTTAAAGGTTATCTATGCTTAACTTATGATTGTTCTTTTGTTAATAGCTATGCCTTAATAACCTTTTGTTATATCCTGATATTAAATGACTGCTATATTGGATATATACGATTAGCTATGTCTAAATAAAATTACAATGACACTAGATTAGTAACTATTTTTTGATTGCATAGTATATGATTTTTCCCCTCTTTGATTTTTATATCTCCAGGTATAAGATAAGAGAGAAGGAAAAAATTGTTCAGGCATATTCTTCTTAGGATCTTGAAGAAAATTTTGTAAGTTTATTTGTATTACTTTGATCCTATATCAATTATTTATTGAAATTATTCTCAAAATAAACGCTCCCATTATTTTACTGGATCCATTTTATGTGACTATAATAATTTTCATATTCTAAATGTGTTGGCTACCAAATATCCTGATTAGGATTGCGGTAAGATTGGTATTATTAAAGAATACATGTACCATAATTAATTTTATTAATATTCTAGGTAAGCCACTATCTAATTTCAAATTTTACACTACGTTTTCAGAGCTCCGATGGAATAAAAGGATGCTTGATAAACCCATCCAAGAAATTGGAAGGAAAAAGACTATTTACAAGCACAAGAAAAGAATTTGATTGTGGAGAGAGTGGACTCCAAATATACTATGAACCGATCCTAACCACATATTTTATGGGTTCCACAACTTTTCAATCAAACATTTCATTAAATTCTCTTAAAAATCTAATATTAATCTTCATCAAACAGGAACATGTATTAAAATTGATGATGTCCAAAAATCATGGTATAAATTAACCATTTTTTTAACAATTAAAAAAAAATGCAAAGCAAGGGTAGATGGTAAGTTGTTCTCTATAGATAATTTCATTTCAGTTTCTTAGACTTTATGGCTCTCTTTTCTCCCATAGGCCCCATCTGCTTTATTGCCCAGGTTGCTCCCATGAAGACATTTTGGAATTTTTTTTTTATCAGATTGATTTTAAAGATAGATTCATTAATGATAATTTAGTGAATTTTCATCTTCATTAGATGAACCATCTACAAGAAACAAGTTGTCCAAATTTAAAGCTCAAATATCAGAAGTGAAAGGGATAATGATAGACAATATTGAGAAAGTACAACAAGAGGCATTAAAGCCCAAGCATGAGAAGCCGATACAGGAGTCATAAAAGAGGCCTTCCTACAAGCCTTTTGGTTCGCAAACTTCGGCATGATTGCAAGTCCATTTTAATGTTTCTTAAATGAAAATTCAATTGCTATTATTTTTTGTAGTTTTTCAACCTGCTTCAAGCTACTTTCTTGTTATTGAAATTAGTTTAAAAGCATTGATATCTTCTTCCCAATTTTTTGATTTCACTATCACGCCTTGAAGATATATCTTCCATATTATAAACATTTTCTTTTCTACAGAAAGCATTATTTCCCGCCTTTGGCATTTGGTTACCATTTTAGATGTATTGATCATATGAATACATGAACCTAATCTATCCATAAGTATTTTACATGCCATACTGGTTGGATGCACAAAGTTATTGCATTAGACATACGCTTATTTTGGTAGTGTGTGTATCCAATTCCATGTTCATATTAGTGTGGTTTTATATGTATCAACTTCCGTGACTAAAATATGTACCTTCATTTGCACATGAAAATCTCATCCCGAAAATAATCTCATACAGACACAATGACATTTAAGAATATGTTATTTAGAGTGAACTAAGCCACACAATTTATTTACAAAGTGTGTTTTTAAATACTAAAGATAAGTAAGTGCCTAAAATTTAGGTGAAAATTTATTGAACTTTTAGAATAATTTCAATAATATTTGACACGCTAACATTACCTTTAAAATAACATGGCCCATGCAATGCACGGACATAAGACTAGTAAAACAGAAAAGTTTCGATTCCCTCTTAATTTTCTTTGACCTCCCACCAAAACAAGTTCCCTAATTTTGGAGAGCTCTTCCTCTTCCTCAACCAAAACCCTTCTCTCTCACAAATTGCAAAATCATTCTATCACCCTCTCCAAATATCCAACCGTCGCTTATCTCAATATCACTGGCGGTTCATAAATTTGTCTCGTCTTCTTTCTCGTAGGTACATATTCTTGGTGAAGCTTTTTCCTCATATCTTCCCCTTGTTTTTCCCTTTTCTTTTCCTCTCTTTTCTTCCACAATTACCATTTATAGCTAGTTATGTTATGGGCTTTTTTTTATTGTGTTTGATTTCGTTTTCTATTTTGGGTTTTTTGGATTCTTGATTTCTCTATTTGTGCATATCTACATGGGTTTGTGAAATAAGGAAATAGAAATTTTAATTTATGTTTGATAATGGAAGTGATAGAGTGGCATTCGAAGTTAGCAGTAAGTGTAAGGTAGATTTTTTCCCAGGCATGCCTACTATTTCCTTATTCTTTATTTATTTCTTAAGTTCGTGACATTCTTTCTTCGTTCTGCATCGTTGGAATTTGTAGGATCATTAGAGCTTTCTTGGTGGAAGAACAAAAGATTGTGAAGAAGGTTTTGAAGATTTAGAAGGCCAAGGAAAAGCTATCTGCTAAGAGCTGAAGAATGAGTCATATGCCAATATAGTTATGGATACTATTAATCAAGGATGATCGGAATTGTATTATGAGGCTTCCATGCTTAAATTATGTTTGTTTCTTAGATTTTGTCAAATGACTGCGTTCTTCAGTTTGTTGAAAATTCTCATATTTGATTTTGGTTTCCCTGCTTTTTCAAAACAACTTAAACTTCGTTTGGATTTACTCATGTAATCCTTGATTTTTTTTCCTCAACTGAGTTTGAGTTATCATTAATTAGCTACTTCTTCTGGTCAGTTTCAATGGTAGCTTGATGTTCAAATTGATTGTTTCGTTTTCATTGTTAGCTTCGAATGTCAAGACCGGTATAATTAGACCGTATAATTGATTGTTTCACTTTCATTCCCTTACTGCTACCTTCGAATGCCAAGATCGGTATAATTGATTGTTTCATTTTCATTCCCTTACTGCTACCTTCGAATGCCAAGACTGGTATAATTAGATCGTATAAATTCAAACTAAGAGAAAGACCAAGAAAATTAGTTTATGGAAGGGCAAATTACTGAATGCACTAAGCTCTTCCTGTAAAATGTGTACGGAGGAGGGTACGTGTTAGAATGAGCAATTTCTAAATTTAACTAGCAAATTGTTCCAATAATGAAGTAGGAGAAGGAGGTTTCACTTTAATTTTCCAGTCAAATTCATATTTATTCCGTTTTGATGTGAAAGACGATCAAGAGTTTTGAAAATATACGTAATCCACTTCTCCTAACAAGAAAGATGCGGTTTGAGCCCCTTATGGGGGTGGTCGAGTTGGTAGAGTAGTTGAGCGCGGAGACCTTTGGTCATTAGTTCGATTCCGTCTACCAACACTTTCTCAGTTGAACCTGTCGTCTAGTGCGGTTTACCTGGCTGACGTGGTTTGCAGGCTATTGCGTCAGCCCAAGAGTTTATCTAGTGCGTACCTGAAGGGTAGCGACTGCGGGTTTCCCTATCATAAAAAAAAAAAATGCTGTTCGATCTCCAAATTTAGGAACTTTCTATTAAATTTTGATTTTAAATATATATTAATTAGGAAATAATATATTTTGAATTTATAGTGAGTATGAAAGATAAAATACTATGAATGAATGAAACTTTATTGACCAATATAATTTAGAAAATAAAGGAAAACCATAGGACCGAGATGCGAGAAACAGTGCGAAGATTACTTAGGGAACTAAATATTCCTAATTTTCAATTTCCTTCTAGTTCAGGATCACGAAATGATGAAATCTAAGACATGATATTTGAAATTTGGAATTTCGATGTAATAATTTAATCTATTAAAACTTTAGTGTGTTTTGAAAATTTTGATTATTTAATTCATTTTGAAGTTAATAATTAGTGGGATGTATAAATTTTTAGTTATTTTTATTATAAAAATAATAAATTAAGATTCACCAATGGAAAATGTTGAAGCTATATTAGAATATAATTTTAGCAATGAATAGTTCATTGGTCAAATATTTATTTGGTAATACCCATATTTTACTAATTAGGACAATGTTTTTACCAACAAAATTTTCATTGATAATGAAAACTTTCTACCAACGGAATATCTATTGGCAATTACAAGGCTTTAACCAACGAAAATTCAATCGGTAATGAAAAGACTTATACCAACGAAATTTCCATTGGCAAATTATAAGGTTTTACTAACGAAAATTCCATCGGCAATGAAAAGACTTTTACAAACAAACTTTTTGTTGGAAATGACGAGGTTTTTACCAACAGACTTTCCGATGGTAATGGAAAGACATTTCACAAATGGAAATTCAGTTGGTAAAACTAATACACTATCAATGGCAACGCATTTTCAATCGGTCTTGTTCCATAGGTGAAGACTAGTAGCAACGGATATCGTGGCTTTAAGAACGAAAAATCCATGTCTAAAGCCATGTTTTTTAGTGAATTATCCCACTAAAATGCTTGATCCCTGGAACAATAGTAAATAACGATCTAAGCAAAAGCCGTCGACATAGTCATAGGTTCTAACCCAAAGAGATATCTTCTTAAGATTCTTCACCTCTTGTTGTTGCCATGCCACACTCTGCTGAAACTCGAGCAACTTCACATGTCCTAAATCAGCATCAGCTCGCATTCGCCTCAGATTTTGCTCGAGCTGCGCCAAAATTTCAAGCTCTTGACCTAGCTGTTCTGTGTCTGCAACAAACCTAGAGCCGGTCTTGAAGCGAGGCAGATGAGGTCTGTGCCTCAGGCCCAAAATTGGAAGGGGGCCTCACTTTGTCCTTTATTATTATTATTATTATTATTATTATTATTATTTTTGCAATTAAATGAAAAAACTGAAAGGAGAAATCATTTGCCTTTCCCCACAGACTCCAGCTCACTGCCTCTCCTCTCACATGGAGATACAACACTGACTTGGGAAAAAAGTTTCAGATTACCTTCAATTATGGATTCTGCAGGGCCTAAAGCAACCAATTATGTCTCCAAAATTGCTTCATAATCTAGAAGAAGTCTAGAATAATCCAAATTGTTAAGAATTATTTGCATCCACCGGTATCGATTTGCTAGAATTGTGTAGAGAAATCTTCCATCGACAATAGCTTACCATATATATGCATGTGTAGAGCCTCTCCATTTTGAGTATAAGTAGATGAAAGAAGTGAAAAACAAAATATATATGTATGTCTGAAAGTGTGAAAATAATGGGCAGAGAGAGAGAGAGAGACTAGTGAGAGAAAAAAGGAAGAGAGTAGGAAGAACAGTCAGAAAGAAAGATATAGAGAGGCAGACGGGCAGTGCATTATTGTGAGGGAATTTAGGGGAATGATATAATTAAAGATTGAGCTGCTTGCTTAGAGTAAAATTATTTTAGTAAGGTGTGTTTGTCAAAAATTAATTGTACAAGTTCTTTGTATAGTAAAAATAAATTTTTGTATGTTTCAAATTCAACAATTTGATTGTTGTTTTAGAATTCAACAATTTGGGAATTTTGGATAAATAGATAATATATTTGGTTGTTGTTCTAATGTTAGTTTTTTAAGTTATTAATGAATCGCATAATACACCGTTGAATTTTGCATTTACGTTACTTTTACTGGGAGGCCTAATTTACAGACTTCGCCTCAAGTTCCGACAATCACAGGACCGGCCCTGAACAGACCTCTCCATTTTCTTGGCTTTCCTCTCCATCTTCTTGAGCCTGTATTGCCATCCACATCAATTCATGTCATTCTCACCCGGATCATCAAAAACTCCTTTGAGATTGTGGTATATTGGGTTCACACATTTCTTCCCAAGCATAGCCACCGATTTTCCCAGAGTTCCCGAATTCTCAATTATCTCGTCAACGGCAGAAACAAGCTTTCGGTTACCGAGTTTACTATCTTTTCCTTCAAATTAACAATCTGCCGATCACCTGGCATTGCCACAAGTTAACCACCTTCGACATCAACCGGGAGACTTCAAATTCCAAAATTCCTATCACATGCTTGTGACGCTCCAGTTCTATACTCTTTTGTGAACTTCTCCACGTATTACCATACCATGTTCCAGCCACAATTTCACCCTCCATACCTAAACACCCACCGACCTTAAACCCTTAATCAATTTTAAATCTGCTATGCAAAATTTGAGAAACTGAAAAATTAGGCAATAAATTTAACCGCACAAAGCAGTACATACAGGCCATGCATGCTGTTCAAAATCACATAAAATTATGCAGTCAAATTTTATTTATTTTTTTATATTTACGGGAAGGAGCAAGAACACTATTGATTTATTTCCAAAATATTTTCCATTTTCCTTGTCTAATGGTCGAAATTATCTATTTACTTTGAAATAACTCGAGAAGCCGGCTCAAATTAAGACAAAAATAAATCCTAAAGCAATTAAGCCTAGATTTGATGGTCATTAAAAAGATTTTTTTTTTTTTAAGAAAATAAATTTTGGAATAATGATTTTTTTTTAAATGCGTGGTTAAAAAATAGGGAAAATTTGAGTTTACTTACAAAACATTTATTGTGTGAATGTGTGGAAAATGAGTTAGAAAAAGAAAAATGAAAAAAATGGATAACAAACGGAGACTAATTTCTCGAAAGTAATCTCAACAAAGGGTATCCCCTAAAACAATTGCACAGATACAAATACATAAAACTTAGAGAAAATACCGATTGCTTCTATTTACTTTGGAAGTAACTTTCGCTCAGGCGGTGTTTGGGAGTGATTTTTCATCCCAAAAAACTAATTTTTTTACCGTTCTTTCACTATACCAATCGTAAAGTTTGACTCCTTCTCTCACAGTTGGTCCAACTTTTCTCTTAACGATCAAAAAATCAATTCTAAAATCGCTCCCAAACGGGGCCTTAAGCTCAATTATATTAGCTTTAAAAAAAAAATCAATTTTACTGTGACTATTTGGATATTTCTTTTTAATTGAGTGGGTCATTGGATAATTTGGATAAGGGTGGGCATTCGTGTGCACTAGTTGGATTACAGTAGAAACAACTGACTTCTGGTGTGGTTGACCCCTCGTGAGCAGGGGCGGACCCACATGGGGTCATGTGGGGTCAAATGATCCCACAATTTTTTTTTTAATTTTCTGCTGCTGAAAAGATTATTTGGGTTTGGGGTTCCAAATTCCAATTAATTATCAACTCCAATCCATTAATCCTATGAATTTATTTTCATTAATGATACGTCGTTCGAAAAAAAATTTATTTTTGATCCCACAGTTCGAAGTCTCTGGATCCGCCCCTGCTCGTGAGGATGGTTGGTTGACGCCATCAAGTGGTTTGGCTAGCTTTAACTTGTACATCTATCAGTTGGTTCGCGGTCACTTGCTAACGTCAACTAGTTCGTACATCAGACCTTGTTGACTTTGGTCTCCTACCATCAACTGGTTTACTTGCCAGACCCCTGTTTGGATTTTGTTTTCCCATCTAGCATCATTATGGATTCTCAAGCCAAATTCAAAAAACTTTAGTGTTGTTGGGTTTTTTGATACCCAATAATCTCGGGCGATGATATTAAACAGTGTCGGATAATCAGATTAGATTTCATAGGCTTTGGCTGATGATTGAAATATTTATTAACACACTCGATTAATTGACTCAATCTCAAAAACAACTTGAGGGTCTTTTGAAACAACTTAATATAATTAATGTTGTTCGCGGTCCATTTACTTCTTGGATGACTCACTTTTGTGTTCCGACCCCTTTAACCATTAGTTGGTCCACGAGCCCACTATATTAGTCTACTACTATTACACC